TCGTAGATTAAAAGTTATAGATGACACAATGTGATAAAAATTTCAATTATTTATTTTTATGAATTACATATCTCTTAATGCTTTTCTTATATTTTAGAGAATAAAGAAAATAAATGGAAAATGCCGCAAATACCAAAACATCTAAAGATCAAAAGATCACAAAAGAATGTGCTCGTTAAAAACAGGCATTTTTTAAAAAACTTTCCAGTTGTCAAATCTTGTAAGCTACGTAAGTTCCAAGACATGTGCATTTTCAAAATGTTCAATGTCATATAAATGATAAAATGTCACTTTTATAGTATGTAAACAGTTACGAAGCAACAACAATTCATTGGCAAAGGCATTGTCTAAAGAAAAACAGGAATGCCAGGTGTTATTTTCTGAAAATGTTGATTTAACTGCTATGGTACAAGATTTAGGTTTAGCTTGTAATAAGCGTGATGTGAGTAACATTTACATAAAAGTAAATTGTTAAATGTAATCGATATTACAAAACACTTTCATTTTAGGCCGTAATATCAAAAGTTTTGAAAAATTCAAAGGAGATGCTTCAAATGATAGTAACCATGAGTGGTTACTTGACAAACACTATTTCATTTTGTCAAGAGTTTGCGAAGTTGACTAACACACATACGTCTTACAATTCTGTGGAAAGTAAGATTTCCCATATATAGGGTGTATTTGAACGGATCGAGATTCTATATGTAAAAATAAGTCGAAAAAGTGGAGTAATATTTTTTCGTTTGACACCTCATTTGGAAGAAAGACTCTTCTTTATACTGTGGTTCTATCGTAAAAATATTTGTACATACATCATGTACATATTTAAGAGTGACTTTTTAAATTTTGGACATCGTAAAGTTGTTTAAAACAAGAGTATGCACTAAAATATAATTCGCTTATGTTTAAATACATGTTATAGAATGTGCATCATATATTTTTCTCAATATAAACCAAAAAATAACGAATACTTTATTTCTTTTAAGAAAATGATGGAGTTTCATGAAGTTTAGTGTACGTGTACTCGATAGAATTTTCAAAACACTATTTCCTTGCAAAAGGGTTATCAAACAATAATACGTTACTCTTTTTTTTCAACTTATTTTTACGTGTAGAATCACCCTCCGCCCGACTGTACCCTGTGTTTTATGTCATACGAATTTAAATAGAAATTTCGTAAGAAGAAGATTATTGCAGGAAGGGATTCGGTGAGGAGACTATCAATGAAATCTCCAACTAGGGGAGTAGTGAAGCCAATGGTGAGCGGTCACACCATTACAAAACCCACCATTAATTTAAGTAGATTAAACATGCAAAATATTAATAATTCATCACACTTAAGTATAATACCGGAAGTAACGACACCTCCCAGAAACGAAGACTCGAACAATTCAATTTCAATAAGACCACGTCGATATGTAAGTATTTTGTAGAACATTTTAAAATTACCAAAAAATATTTAGAAAATCTAGTTAAAATTGAATATTACAGACTAATGGTCGCAAGTGTAGAATGCCCGAGAGACTCAATATTACTAGAAATAGTGGTATGTATTTTTGTGTACATGATTTATCATTGATTTTGCATCGATATATATATTTCGCTTGCATAGTATAATTACACGTACCAAAATGTATCCTTAGACGAGAACGAACGGAGATTAAACGAAAGAAGTAGAAGACATTCTGGAAAATTATCAGGCGGACTTTCGAAGTCAAGATCATCGATGAACAATAGCTATCGATATAGCATTGAAACTTTCGAAAACATAGGAAGTCCTAGAGTACAGCTGAACGATGTATCGAAATTGTTACAAAATTCTCAAACCATCAACATTCGAATGGTTCGTACATCAAATGCTAGCATCTTCCTCGCGGCTTCGCCCGCATGTTTTCTTTTCTTGCAGCTCAAGTCACTATATGAACAGGTAAAATTCGTATCAATAATTTCTTATAATAAATTTTTACAGTTGGAAGAAAATCAAAATAATGTAGATACAAACTCGGGAATTGATGATACGATGAATTTAGACGTATCTCAAAGTAACAATATTATATCTGAAACACCGCCTTCTAGCGACTCCCCAGGCAAGGATGATAGAGACGTCAGCAATCAAAACCAAACGTGTAACAACACGTTGAACGAACAAGGGAGGAAAAGCACGAAAGAAAATCTTCCATCAAACTGGGAAGATCCTCTCGAAGGGCCAAGTTGGTTATTTAATAATTCTCAAGCCGTGCCTTTTACGAGTAAAGAGCAAAAGACTGATAATGTAAATGATTCGAACAATAGTGATATAAGTATGACCCTAAATGGAGTAGAATCAGATAAAGAATCTTCTGACGATGAAGATACCATTAAACGTGTATTACCACTACCAGCATCAATTAACGAAAATAGCTTAGATGGTATCGAAAAACAAAATGATGAAATTGATGAAAATGATGAAAATACGTCTCCGCAGTCTGATAACAATAATCTACCTAATATGATAGGAGAAATGGTCGAAGATAATGAAATCGGAAGTGCGACTGGAGTGGACCGAGTAAATTTTGTTACACAGAGACGAGGCTGTCTCGAGAGTGAAGACGAAGATGATTTCACTTTAATATTGCCTACTCTAAGACGTCGTAATATGCACTTCGATATGAACGATTTGAAACTGCCAGTTTTAGATCAGTCTGCTTTGAAACCACAGCCCTCGGTTGAACCAGAACCGGAGACAACAGGAAGGATACCTCTACAAAAGATCTCACAAATTATTCCTATACCATCCGTTTCACACAACAGTTTAAACGAATCGGCATTTAATCAATCCACTGTGAAGCTTCCAACACTCGTGAACAACGATTACGAGGATGAATTGACGCCAACGAAGGAAGAACTGGGTAGAAAGCGAAAGAAACAAATGAATACGGAATCTAATTATAGCAATTGTATTGATACAGCGAGCAGAAGTAAGAATAAAAATAAACAGAAAAAGAAGAAAAATAAAATTGTAAAGGACCCAAGTTCTGCTAAAGTGGTTTTAGAGAAGTTAAACGAATCCGATGTCAAATCGGGGACACCTACTTTGAACAAATTGTTTTCTGGTGATTCCAATCAATCTTTGTAAGTTTTACTATTTGTGAAAGACGATCGTATCGGATTTAGTGCAATAAATATTTTATTGTTACAGAAATTCCACGTCTTTGAGAGCGACTGTCTTGAGCGACTCGGACAGCAATGAGAGCTCAAGTAGCCTGCATATGCCCAGTCGTCCTAAACGAGTAAGAGCACCTATAACTTTGCACGAACCTAATTTAAGAAAGTGAGTATTACTTCCTCTCAAAGTTATAGACCTTTTAGTTGCCATGTGTAATTACAGTTTAATCATTCCTTTTATTTAAGAATGAAAATTCGATCATCAATTCATACTTCTTTAATCAAGAATTAAAATTTGATCGTTGATTTAGATTTCTTCCTGTGCTGAAAATTTTGTTGAAATCTAATAAAAACGAAAGGAGCGACAGGCATGGAAACCAGGGTTGCAGATTTTTTTAATTGCCGCAATAACAATTAATGATCACATTTTTCTAAATCTGAATCGACAATTTGAATATTCTGTAATTAAGAATTAAAATTCAATCGTTCATTTGAATTTCTGCCAATTAGACTAATTAAGTAATTTTAATTCATAATTATCCAGACAAAATTCGTTTTAATGTTTAGCTTAAAGCACATTGCTGGATGCTCCAATAGCGTAAGTTTATATTTTTAGTCAATTCAGTGGGTTGCCTTCTGCCTTCTTGTGCCGCTAGTGGAATGTACCTCCTTAAAGATTTAATGGTTTATCTGCAGCCCTGCTTTTTGTTACGGATGAAAATCTTTCTTTCATATGTTAATTCGTTTCAGGAAACTACGAAGAAATGAATAATGTTTTACATATACAACATTAGTCGATACTCGAGGAACGTGCATAAGCGATATTTCATTAAACAATCGCCTTCTTGAAACGATGTAAATAAATCTATCGATACATAGACTGAGGTGTTGTTACAGATACGGCAAGAAAGTATATGATAGATTAATTACGCATATGTGTAAAACCAGGCACTATGAACTGTTCGGCTTCCATGATTGCGCACATTTTTTCTAGTTTATAGTAACTGTTAATTTGTCAAATCGTTTGTCCTATAAATAATTATTTATAAGACAACTGATTTGACATAGTCATAGCTTCTTCATTTTGGCTTCCTCTCATAGTATTGATCGTATGTAGTACATTTTGTACCCTTATCTAATGTTTTAATGAATAAAAATAAATTGTATTTGAGAATTACCAAAAATAATCGTTTTACTTGTCATTTCTGCCTGTCGAGTTATCGGTAAAACAGAACAAGAAAACAAAGAAAAGTTCAACAGTTTACCGACAAATGTTAGAAAAGTCACGTGAGTACCCTCTCCATCTACAGTTTATATGTCTATAAAGTGGCAGATGTAGAGTCGGAGAATAATTATGTTTGTTTAATTTCCAAATGAAAAAACAGGTAGCATTGCCTCGCCCATGTTGTTAGGCGATCGATTGTTTTTCTGTTCGACGGTTAAGCGCTGTTTCAAGCTGTATAAAACGTACATTAAATTACAAAACTTTTTTTCATTAATTATAATTAGGAATCCTTAAAATTACGTGTTTGGGTAGTTTTGGTCTGTTTTTCAAGAATAATTAATTACCAACGATAAGCAACTTTCGTGATATAATTAATGATGATATAATTTGTCGCTAATTTAATTGAATTACTGTGGTAGCAATGGTAAGGCGTGGACATACACGCATGCGGAACTTATGTTGCTAAAAGTCTAAACTTGAGATCAACGCTTAATTTGCATAGTCAATATATATCTACCTATAGACCTATAGTAGTGTGTTATAAAGCTGTGCTCCTTGATTCGTGTTCATGTATTCGTGCATAATGCGGCTATAATAGAAACGAGAATAATAATTATTTTTACCTTAGTTATACGGTAACCTTTATTGTTACACGTATAGTAAAAGAAATAAATTAATGTGCGGTACTAATGTAATTTTGCATATGAATGCAGGCTATAATTTTCTTCTTCGCACGAACGTTTATTTCTCGTCAAAAATAGAATATCGCGTAGAATACAGTAAAAAGACTTGTTAACGTTTAACGATGTTTACAGTTATTTCAAAATACTTTAGGGTATTTAATCAATTTTCTAATAGATGATATGAGTTGTCTGTGCATGAATGGGGAACCAGATGTTCATAATCGTAAACATTTCACCTGTGGTTTGGTGAACGGGCGGGAACACAGTTATTTTCACGTTTTCGTAAACAGCTGAGCTGGGTCGCGACAGAGAAAAAGATGAATATCTTATTTCAGGTATGTTAAATTATTTTTTCGGGCAACTACTTATCTTGTAAAATACATATAGTATATGTATATGTGTGCATAATATAACAATAATATACGACAATTAGCATAAAAACTATAGCAAACAATGTACAAATATATATACGTATGTAGCTAAATTAGAAATAAAAGGAACGAACATCAAATTCACTTAGCGCCAATTAGAAACGTTTTGGTCAAGATATGTAAGAGCAATCAATTCCAAACGTCATATGGTCAATGTCAAGATATATATGTAATGCGAACAATTATGATTAGTGTATTGACTCGCATCTCGTTTGATGCGGGTTTATGTAATGAATAGTTAGATTACTGAGTTCGTCCATGTAAGTATAATTAGGCGCAGTAGAAAGGCTGGGTAAATTTTTTCTAGGAGAAACCTGTTTCTTACCTAAAATTTATTTTGATCGAATTTCGAAAATCAATTTTTAATTTGGGAATTCATTCGTTGAACACTCATTGTGCGAAACAAGTTCCGAATGATTTTGACGTATTTTCTGATCTTTAGTAAAATTAACTTAATGTCAGAAATATTCTGATATCTTTTAATTCATCAGAAAGAAAAGAATGTATTAAGTCTTAATCAACAGTTTAGAACATTCTTCTCACTAGAATTCCAGATATTAAATACCAAAAATATCGAAAAGCATATATCAAGGAAGTTTGGCAATGTCAAGTACTAATTAACTTTTCAACGAATGATTTCCTAAACTTAGAAATGTCTTTTCTAAGTTATTTCATACGTGGTTGGGATCAAAGTAAATTTTGGGTAAGAGAAGTTTCCCAGAGATGAAATTCAATAAAAAATTATCTATTCTGTAAACCTCGATCTAGCCGTACAACCAAAACTACCATGGTCAAAAAGAATCAGAATGAAAGGAGATGTAAAAGGATTAAATCAAGGCGTAATATTTTAGAAGGTGTGAAACGAGCTTGCCTCGCACCGTGAAAAACAGACACTCGCGTGGGAGTGAAATACCTACAGTACACTTGAAAAGAAAGAACAAGGAATGAGGCGTGCGATTTAGAACGCGGGTTAAATTCTCCACCCGTCGTACTAAGTACATCGCGAGTGATATTTTCGCTGTTGAACAAGGTCCGGCATCATTTATGCAAGATCATAGAACAGCCGCTATTACCGAGGCTCGAAAATAATGCGAGTAAAAGTCGCGTCTTCAACGTGCGTGGACCAGTGCGTTCAAACTCTCCCTCCACGCTTAACCGCTGTATGCCACCACGCACGCGTCTACCATTTCCTAGTAGCGCCGATTGCCCGGCCAACAGGAACCCGCGCGTGACGCCATCGTCGGCCAATCGGCACTCTGGCCGGTGACGACCGAGCTATTTTTAGTGGACATGAGTCACGGGATATAAGGCAGTACGTTTAGTTGGGTGTTCACAAGTTGTCGAGACGTCGTGCTGTGCGGGGCCGAGTGACATATCCGCATTCGGTGTACGTTGTAGTCTATTCTAGAGGTGCACACGCGCAGAACATCACGTTCGTCGGATTGCGTGCCCCGTGAGTCATTGTTGTGTTGACAGTCGAACCAGGTCGGTCCTCGTGTCGGCCACTGAGAACCGATACGAAACACCATTGGGCCACGAGTCTCGGTTGCCGTTCGTGTGCGACGAGTTTCGCGAACGACACGCTACGCACCTTTTTGCGTCTCAACCTTCGGGTATCCCGATATCGCGGCTCGTTAAAATACGTGGCGAGTGTCGCGTATACATAATACGGTGGTAGGTGGTTCCGCGAATCAAGTGCGGATCGAAGAACAGTGGGCATCTGGCGACAGCCGGCTATGCGATAAAAAGAGGCTGTGGATGAATTTCTCGGAACACGGCCGCGCTACGTGGGTTATGTAACGACTAGTGAAAAACTAGATACACGGTAGTGCTTCGAGTGGAATACGCGAATACGTTAAGTGAACAAGGAAGAGTAAAAAAGAGAGACGGACTCATTGACGTAGCGGTGATCGTGTGCGCGTATCAAGTGACTGTAGAAATCCACTGTGCTCCGGTTGAGCCGTGAACATTCGATTATCAAACGCGAATCAGTCCCGCGGCATCGATGGTGCGAAGCTCGACGATGGATCAGACGTTCTACGAGGACACGAGCGTCTACGGCGCCGTGAATCGCGAGAACAACGTGGGCCAGCTGAAGCGTAACTTAACGCTAGACCTGAACGGATGTCAGGGGCCGCAATCGAAAAGGCCACGATTAGGACCATTGCCACCGGTGTTGAACAACGTGACACCAATACTAAGCTCCCCAGACTTAAATATGTTGAAAGTGGGTTCGCCGGATTTGGAGAAATTCATAGCTCAGCATGGCGAGAGTTTGGTAACGAATCTACCGACACCCATCCTGTTTCCAAAAGTAGTCACCGAAGCTCAGGAGTTGTACGCTCGGGGATTCGTCGAGGCCTTAAACGAGCTGCATCATTCCGACAGTTCGCAGGAGCCTGGTAACATTCACGGAGCCACGTACACTACGTTGGAGCCGCCGAACAGTGTACAGAGCACGGAATCGTCGATGAGCATGGTGCAGATCAAGGACGAGCCTCAGACGGTGCCGAGCGTGTCAAGTTCGCCACCAATGTCGCCGATTGATATGGAGAACCAGGAAAGGATTAAGCTGGAAAGGAAACGTCAGAGGAACCGTGTCGCTGCGTCAAAGTGTCGAAGACGTAAACTGGAGCGCATTTCCAGGCTGGAGGATAAAGTGAAGCTATTAAAGGGCGAGAATACTGAGCTCAGCGCTGTGGTGAATAGGTTGAAGGAGCACGTGTGTCGGCTGAAGGAGCAGGTGATGGACCACGTGCATTCGGGATGTCAGATCATGCCCGTGTCTGGCCAGTACTGAGCCGACGGCACCTGACGAGACTCCTTTGGACGTCTAGCGTTGAGTCTGAAGGTGCCTGAGGTCTGTTTTGCTAAACACGTTGACGGTTTCTCTTAGTAAAGGAAAAAGGGAAGCTGTTGAAAGAACAAACCGTCGCTGCTGGTTCGCGTCGTTTACGATTCCTGGTTCTCGGGAAAAGAGGACACGGTGATGATCGTGCGCGAAGAAGAAAAGGAGTGCCTTGACGTGCCGAGCGTGAAACATTTCTTTTTCCAAAAAGGTACGCGACGTGGATAATATTCAGCCAAATGCCTCTCTTCTCGTTGCCTGTGCGTGTTCGATTGCTTTTCATGCATACACAAGTGAAATGCATGTAGAGAAGCAGGAGGGAGAGAGACGGAGTCGAATAGTGCATGGGTTCAAGAAGAGGAGGAAAGAGAGGAGAGGAGGAAAGAGAAGAAAAAGGAGAGAGTGGGTGGGACTTCGTGGAGAGGAGTGGGACCCTGCGGCGCGGCCATTTTGGAGAACCGCGAGTACTGGCGGGAAATTCAAATTTCTTGATTCTCTTTTTTTCTAGAAATCTTACGTATTATAATTTCGTGAAGGAAAAGCGATTAACATGTTCTTGATTAATTCCGAGATATTTTTCTGTATATTTTTCCATCCTATCTGTATTGGATTCTCTGGAAATACGTAAATACGAAATATATTATAGAATATTATATTTTTATTAGCAGAACTATATTGGAAGTACGAATTATATAAATTGACAGTTAAATACAAATATAGTAGGTTTCCATTTAAAATGAGTTGTTCGATAATTGTCTTGTGATCATCTGTATCGTTTTTCATCTTTTCTTTCTTCAATTTTGTAACGAATACACTGTACATTAAGTTACCTCGAAATCTTTCGGAAGAAATTGCGTTATTTTATTTTTGAAGTTTCCTCAGGATGACGAGAATCCTTGCGTGGCCATCTCGTGATAATCTTTGCAATCACGAAAAGAAGTGACAAATTCTACCATCATGTTAGAGAATGTTAGTTCGCTTTTTCTTCAAATCAACCAACGTTCGATGCAATGTTTTATCTAATTAAACGAATCGCGATGAAGAACTCGTATAGTGTAAAGGAAATCACTATTACATAGATATGCGCGCAGAATAATGACTAAAAAGCAAAAAAAACATAGGTAGATTAAGAGAACTTACCTGTGGGAGGGACGGAGACGTGAAATGAAGGAAAAATGTGCTTTCTAAAGTAATGTTAATACCAAGTTTCTAGTACGTATTTGATCGATGAATTCTCTTTAATCGTTTCAAGGTGCTGTAGAAAAATCTTTTTTCTCTTTCTTAACCTTTAGATCGCCGGAGAGCCGAAATATCGGCTCAAGAATTAATGACGACTTTATACGTATATCTTTGATATATCTATGATATAAATTATATGTGACTTTTTAATGAAGTTTGTATTTAACTGATCCCGGCGGCCTAAAGATTAGATGAGTTTATGAAAGTATTTGATTATTTTGTCAATTCGATATTTTATGAATTAACAGAAAAACACGGTTTTTCGATACCGTATTGTTTTAAGGCTGTACAAAATAGAGTTAGCGTCCGGAGCAGTTGCCGGCGTTGAAATCACCGCGTTTAAAGGACGTTTCTCGTATTTCCATTCAGTGACGAGATTTTTTTTAGTACGCGGTGCGATCACGTCTACTCTGTGCGAAAGAGCCCCCGAGAGATCTTTGCCTTTCCGTTTTCTTTGCGTAGCTTTTAAGCCGGAGACTACGTGTTTACCCATTTACCTGGTTCCAAGGATATTGATCATGTTTTTGGAACCATCGTTTCGTCATATGTGCATCTAGTCTTGTCCAGTATGCCCTCTTGTTGCACAGTGCTGTGTCACTCGCTGGTCCATATAAAAAACATGAATGTAGACGTACCAGTCACGTGCGCGTACGCTCGGTTCTGTTACCACGTGTCACGACGATTTGCATTTAAAAAGAACACTTGGTTCTCTTCTTTTTATGATACGATACGTGAAATAATGGATTTCGAATCTGATTTTCTTTTTCTATTTCGACGAAGTAACGTGGTAACAAAATCGTACGACGTTACCGTTGTGCCATTACGAAGGAATCGCCTGTTTAAAAATGAAACGGAGTTTTCTCCCGGAGTGTCACAACACTTTCGCGTACAGAGAACAATATTCAATAATTATACTGCGGATTGTATGAATTTATATACAAAATTAGATGTGAAGAATGTAAAATATATATGCATGAAGTATCAACAGTAAAATGCATATTACATTCTCACACGACCTTATTTTTCGAATTGGCACCCTACAAGTTTTATATCGCTTAAAAATCCGTAGTAACAATCATGATTGAATAGTTAAACATATTTTCGGACAATTCTTGCAATGAACAATCGCGTGAACGGGTCTTGACATTCTTTTATATTTTCGTAACCAAATATTAATATTGGGATTTGGGAAGTTCAAACATGTTAACGTAACAAATAAAAATTTTATTAATTTGAACATTTCACCTATTTCAAAACTTTAACAAGAATTCGCAATTCTTTTTAATATGAACGAATACTTTTTTGTTTTTATAACATTTAACCCCTTTTTCCCTTTTCGAGAGTTAGATTTCGAAAAACGTGTTGTGATCCTCCGCGGCTACAAGCTCGTTTAATTGGGAGATGTAGATTTAATATTGTATTAGTGTAACGGACGAACTCGATACGATTCGTCGTCGGGAGATTGCAATTCGACGAAAGTATAGAAATTCATGCGCTATTTTTAGATACATCTATATTGTAATGATACATATATAATGCTGACTCGGAAAATGCTGATCGTGTTATACCTTGTTTCTTTCTTTCAACTTGCCTGCAGAGTAAAAAAACTGCGAGATCGACACGCTCGAGATTAGAGAGCATATGTGCTATACTCTTCTAAAGAGTAGCATCGCCATTCTCGCAGCTGTTATCAAGAGAGTTTCAGGTTTCCATCGTGCTCTATTCCAGAATAAAGTCAAACCGAATGCTCCACCGAAAAGAGCTTCTGGCCTCAGCGAATGGTTTTCTTCGAATTAGCATTATATACGTGGGGTAGTTGGTACAACTTGTTCGAACGAAGGGAAGAAAAATGAAAAATGTTCAATTTTATTCGATGTGACTAGGCCGTGGATTTCATGCATTTATAGAGAAATTGTACATGCAGAAAATATAAACACATTTCTCAAATACAGGATGTCTCAAAACGTGTATAAACACGTTAAATAATCATAAAGTCGGTATTTATTAAAATATATTTCATTCTCAAAATGTAATAGAATCTACATTGTTTAATAAGTATATATTTTTATGGGACACCCTGTATGTATGGAATACCAAACGCAATGAATATTGCAATGTGTAAAAGATAAAATTCTTTATTTAAGATACATTAATTAAGTTAATACATAATTTGGTTTGCAGAAAAATCCGCAGTCTAGATATAACAACTATTTGCCTTCTTTTTATTTTAATCCGTTCTTTTAATTTATTTTATTCATAATTTTATTGCTATTTCGAATTGTGAAAGAAGCTATGTGATTTTCTCGCATTTTCTTCCCCTCCTTTGACACGCGACTTTCGGCACATAACTTGACAATTTTTCACGTATATTTATTTTTATTTTCAAAAATATTAGAAGGATAAGAGTGCTCTGTTTTCTCTTGCTTGAATATATCTCTTTATCTTTGTTCCACGAGCTTCCCTTTCTATTTTCGATTCAAAAGTTATCCTTTTAATATTTGTTTGAACAAAAGTATTTGTTAACACAAAAGATGTGAGAAGGTAGAAATGTTTTCTATGAATAATGGCGTGCCTTTTTCTCAAACTAGTAACAATAAAGAGAATACTGTAACAGTTATCAATAATCACCAGCAATCCTAAACGATCAACCTGAATTTTTCTTAACAGTAGGTGTTTTCACATTATTTTCGTTTTAATTCAGATGAACTCACTGAAACTAAATTAAATAGAAAAACCAGAGAATTGCTGCTGAAAATATATTTTTCTGTTACAACGAACAAGTGTTAGTTTGACTAGCGATCAATCGGATACGCTGTAAAATTGAGATAATGCCAGGATTTTTAGGGTATGAGCGAGCGGAGAAAACCGATGGCACAAAGAAACGTATGAAAGTAAAGATGAAACAACCACAATGTGATTTAGTATGTAAGGGCGAGAATAACCCCGTTAAAAGAGGAACGTGTACGTGTGCATATAAGCAAATTGGAAATTCGACGTATGCGTACGTACACGTTGTATTATAAGTATATATAAATAGCTGTACGGTGACGAGAATGCGACGATGACAAAAGCACCGTATACATAGATTTATACGTAACCCTAAACATGAGAGTAAAATATTGCTATTATGTAATATATAATAATAATTTTATATATATATAAAGATATACGTGTATATGTATAAATGTATAAGCGTAGTTATTTATATATTTATACATATATCGGCGTCCATATATATATATATACATATATATATATTGTCTACCGATCGAAAAAGCGGAGACATCTTTTTTTACGAATATTTTATTTTTGAATGAAATATGATGAAAGAATAAAATTTCACTACATGAAAACTTACTGCCTATTATCTTTTCTTTTTCTCTCGTTTGCCTGTCCCAATTAAATATAAATATTATAATTATTCTCTGGAGTCCGATGCATCTGGAAAAAGATTTGAGCAAAGAACTTAAAAGTTGTCACTAATTTGGACAGAGTTTGAATTATAATTATTCTCTGTATAATAATTCTGTATAATTGTTCTCGAAGCGTAAAACTGTATGGTTTAATATGAAATAGAGACAATTTTAATTTTAATCGGCGTAATAAGTAATTAATGCATTTCGGATCTCTTGTATTTTGCTCGTGGGATAAGTTTCTCTGAGGGAGAAACCGGAATTCGAACCGGCGACTCATCGTACGCCGCGTTAATTATCGCAATTGGCTAATTGCCTCAATTGGGAAAGTTCTCGGTACGAATTAAGATCGTGAATTTTTGCGGCCTAACTGATTCGAGCGTTCGTTCTCTAGAAACCTTTTTATAAATCCTGGCGAACAACTAAACCGGACTGTAGGACCGTACATCATCGTTTAATTCTGCAAACAACGAAAGGCTTTAAGGTTGTTCCTGTAATTATTTTCCTTCTAATGGAAATAATTGATACGGCGGTGATTATGTTAAAAATTATTCGCAGAAACGCGTTGAATATTGAACACGTGTATTTAAATAACGGATAACAATTTTACATACTATTTTCCTGCCGCGCTGCTTATGTAAAAGAGAAAGTAGAAAAGTTTCTTTTGATAATTGATAAACAAGAATGATTTTTACGATATGGATCGAGCGATTCGTTATGAGTTTTGCTTGGAAACATTTCGAAATGAAATTTCATCATGTCGTTGGTTGATCAGGGTCACCGGGTACTCTTCCTACATTCTATTCTCTACTCTTCTTTCGCGAAGCCTTGCGTTATCCAGATTCGAACGGCTTTGTGTTTCACGAACCAAACGTCCTCGACGAGTAAAAATAAACTGGATAGTTTAACGCGACGATATATTGCACGCGAGAGAATTCGACAAAAATTATTATCAAACCGAAGAATTCTTTTTTGCGTCAAATTTCTTATTACCAGCCTTTTTTCAATCAATTTATTCCAATTAACGGCCCGTTGAAACGACACGACGATTCCATCGCGTAGTTCTATCAATTAACGATTGACAATCGTGACAATCGCAAACATTGTACGTCCTTCGAGCTACAGACGAATCGTTCGCCTCTGCAGTCCACTACGGAATAACGCGGCTCATAAATAAATGCTTAGAATATGAAAAACGATCGAGTAGCCGTTCGTTGCTCATGAATAATTCACAGCAATCGTTCTCGAGTTCGTATCTTTCACTGGTATTGGCTTGATTGATGTTAAATTCGCGGCGGAGGCTAAACTGCGCGTGCACAAAAATGTTATCGTGTACATAAAAGCAGAATACATAGAAAGACATGTGACGCATTTCAGATTCGATTATCGAAAGTGCTTTTCCAATTTTACAACGTCGATTTAATTCAATCGCGTTCAGATCGAATTTTATATTGCTCCGAATTAATCGGCGAGTTATCGACGTTATCTCGCCGTTATCTCGCGAAATATGTTTCTATCAGTTGCGGCTTATCGATGAAAGGAAGGCAAACAGCTGTGTCGCTCTTTTCGGCGTGCAACGTTGACATACGAATAATAAGTAAAATAGAAGTATACATATATGCAAATGTACTTGCTATTTATGTTATGTAAGAAGTATAAATGTCTCAGGTTTTTTATTCTTTTGATGATAAGATAAGTATGTCCTTAAGTTGCAATTTCTACTCACTGGTATTTTTTCTATAATTTCGTATGTTCTAAAATTATAAAAAATAAGCCAATGAATAGAATATCATATAAATAGTGTCTTAAAATTGTAAAAATATAAGTCAGTGAGCAGAAATATTGTGACGTGAACAGAAATTGAAACATTTACCTTACCAGATAATTATTTTTATGTTGCACGGTTAACAAACTTCTCTAAAGCTATCGGAGTACATAAAATGTGTGCAGTAATCGATGGAATATAAAACGTAAGGAAAAGATAGTCTTATGCAATACCGCGGAGAGAACCGCGATTCATTAGTACCGTGAGTCCGGTTTCGCGTTGAAACAGTAGAGGAGGCAGAAATAGCCTTGCCAGAGAATGGTGTCCGTCGCAGAAAAACAATAACCAGACACTGAATTCTCGTCGTCGTCGTTCCAATTGATTATTATTTTTCGTTTTATTATTATCAACCTCCGTTGCTCCCAAACTCGTTCCGAACATTACAGCAAACAGGATATATAAAAACGAAATGCGCATAGTTCTCGACACGGAGTAAAAGTAAAGCTAAAATACTCGGCGCACTCTTTGTTTAATTTATTTCTCAATTATTGCTCGTATAAAATTAGTAGATTATCACAGAATATGTTTAATCTTTCTAATGCAGTCTTTATTTAATTTTTACTTTGTTTCGTTATAGAAATAAATAAATAAATATTTAAGATTGATTACTATTAACATTCTGACTGTACTTTTCTGTAAATTATCTCGGAGTCTACGAAGATATCGAGGCCCAATTAGTCTACATCGTGTTCGATTCGAAACGACTTCGAATGGATAATTGTACGCGAAGGTCGCTCCGCGGGCCGCAAGGTTGCACTTCTAGATTCTAGATCTCCTTAACTGATGCAACACACTTCTCTAAGATGGTGAAAAATGCGAGGACGATCGCAGATACCCGTAGACGGTGTAAAGAGCTGGGAGCTCGAGTGCTATTATCACGGATTCCGACCAACGTGTCTCATTATTCAACGTCGCACATTTATTCCCATGTCCTTCAGTCGGTTGCTTTTATTCGCTTCCGTCGAGGGTATTCCTATCTTCTCCCTTTTTTTACATTGACTATTATTTGTCGTCAGACATTCCACGTTAAATTGAATGCGCGATATGAAACTGAATTTCATTCATTTTTTTTATGATAAACACGAAGCTAATTCTTTGACGTGTTTTAATACTTCAGAGAAATATTTCCGTGAGAGGGAACATTTTTTTACAATCTCAAATGTACGTATGTACTCGAGAAAATTTTTTAAATGTAAACACTCCGCACCTGTGTTTGGAAATCGGCTGGCTTTTAATATTTACTTGCGTCTTTAGATTAGCTGATTAAATACATTCACGTACTGTCGCGAATATTTTGTTTTATCAACAATTTTCTACACAATTGGCGATATCTTGTTCGATCTTCCGGAGGAGATGTGACCCGTTAGATATGAATGAAACGAAACTTAATGGAAAGTATCCTCAACTGGATTGTAAGTACGATCTTCGGGTTCAGTACACGAAGCTGCAGAGCTGTTAATCAGGAAGGAACTACAGATTACATTCACTCACTTCCATCTTATGAAACGCTAAAACTGTATCATTCCCTGCAACAGTAAAAACTGATACTCATAGAGAAATAAGCCAGTGAATAGGAATCTCTTACAAATTTTCCATCCGAATTTAAGTATGATAATAACTATGTATTAGCAAGATTTCGAACACGTGTCACTATTTTAACTGACGGCCAATCTTCAGAACAATCTTAATTCGTTGGGAAGTCAAATTTGTTTATAAGTATCCTGAATTTCGGAGCGCCGAATACCCGCTTGCTATTATCATTCTAATCATTCGTCTGTCATGTACCGTGGCGGCGATGCGCCCCAGTACATATTTTGCAACTCGCGGAATCCGTGATTCGATTTCCAAGAGAACCATTAAGTATCCTCACCGATATCCGACGCGAGGCTCGCACGCACGCGGAGCGAATTAAGCGCATCTCGACGAATCCGTTAAGGAATTCCAACGAATGGAGGACACGCGGCGGCCAGGAAATTAGCATAAGAAAATTGGAAGCCTACTTTCGTATTGTATACGTATATACATATTTCGGAGAAGCGCGAGGGACACGACGCCCACCATTATGCTCCTCGAAACAGCTATTTGCATTCGAATTGATTCGTTTCGAAACGCGTCCCCGTGTATGGATGTCGCATTTTCGTCGATACGAAGGTCCGTTTCATTGTTACGCTCAAGTATATGGATCAGAAGGGGCGAGACGATGCATCTTCTTTTCTAACCGAATTATCTATCAACTCATCTCATGATTACTCGATGCTTGTTTTCTTCATCGGCCAATGAATGCACGACGGAATCCTCGAGAAATAACCGATCTACAAAATTGCACAGAATTACTAGTTTACATAACACAGTGATTGCATCAATGCAATCATCCTATGCGGCATTTGAAACTTCGACGAAATATTTAGGAATTAAAATTTACGAGCTATAATAAGTAATTCCTTTATTATTCCTTTAACGAGTTACACCGTGCGGACTTGCTTTCCCATCTATAATACATCTCTATATGTAGTTATATAAAAATAAACAAGACAAAAATTTTACCAGCTGTAGAATATTTCGAATCGTAAATTGAAAATCGGAAACGGATTGTGTCGCAACAAACTCGTAGTTCGGATTGAAATTTCTATTCAACGGAGTCAACAATACCGCGGGAACTACGCAAAAATTCGATTCCTCGGTTCTCGGAAGCAATATTTCACGGCGGGAGAATAAATTACACGCGGGAACAGGAGTAGGAAGATCTGACGGCCAATCTTCAGAACAATCTTAATTCGTTGGGAAGTCAAATTTGTTTATAAGTATCCTGAATTTCGGAGCGCCGAATACCCGCTT